CGGCTGCAGCACCTAGTACCGCGCCCGGCCCCGCCCGCCGGGAGAGGACCTCCCCCCGCCCGGACCGACCTGCCCTGCCCGGGGTGGGGCTGCCCGGGGCTTTTCAGAGATGGCGGGGGAGGGGAAGAAAGAGGGGCCATGTATTCTCCTGCCCTCGTGAGCAGCCGAGATCACACGTGACATGTCTGAGGTGGAAACTCACCCGCTGTAAGGGCAGGTCCAACGCCTAGGGCGCCAATATTTGGCGGACACCGAAATTATATGCAGAACAAAATAACAGGAACATCATTCTAAATGACAGCTGTGGCCGGCCACAGCTCCACCTAGGCTTAAAACCTTTGTTTCGGTAAGAGGAGAAAGACCTCTGAAAAGATCTCAGAGGAAAGATCACCAGAATCGCGACTCCTGCCTTTTCCTCTATATTGGAAGTGATGGGGGTGCCGAGGTGCACAGTTCACCTCGGGCGCCAATTACCCTCGGACCAGCCCTGCCCACAGTCACTGGCAAACCCACTTCCCTGGCCACGGGAAAAGTCATAAAGGAGCCAATAATAATGCACATGCTGATTCCTTCACCCACACAAATCTTTTCCGAGTCAGCCTGAAAGCCATTATCAGCAGAGCTGGATTAATAAGCAAACTAGGCACATGCCTAGGGCCTTATGCGAAGGAGGGGGCCAGTTGTGCTTATTTTGCATGTTAGAATTACTACTGAGTGAAAAAAAGTAATACAAAATTTCATCTTCAGCTGGGGGCCCACAAGTTTGTTTGCCTAGGGTTAACCTCCAAAGGGTTAATCCCACCCTGGTTATTGGGAACATCAGGTTAGAAGCCCTTGAACATCCTGGTGACCTAAAATGCAGACTCATAACCAGGTTTCCCACGGAAAAATGGAGAAAACCACAGATTCCCTGTTTTTTATCAGAGAAAACGTGGATTTCTTTTTTTAGCAGAGAAATCCTTGGATTCTCCACTTTTGCAAAGAGCTCTTGCAGGCTGGCACAGCTCCAGCCTGCAAGAGCCAATTGCAGAAAGGGCAGGAAACCCGCAGCCTTGCCCAGCGGGGGAGAGAGAGGGGGCAGGGCGGGGCCGGAGCCTCTGAGGCAGCCAAGGCTGGGCTCAGGCTCACGGTCGCCCCTGGAGCATTGGAGGTAAGTGGGGCTGTGGAGCAGGGCTGGGGAAGTTGGTTGGGGGTTGAGGGGCGCAGTGTGGTGGTGCCCGCCATGTGTGGGCCGCACACGTGATGCCCGGCCGCCTGCCCGGGGGAGGGGGAGACCGCGCCCGGCCCCGCCCGCCGGGAGAGGACCTCCCCCCGCCCGGACCGACCTGCCCTGCCCGGGGTGGGGCTGCCCGGGGCTTTTCAGAGATGGCGGGGGAGGGGAAGAAAGAGGGGCCATGTATTCTCCTGCCCTCGTGAGCAGCCGAGATCACACGTGACATGTCTGAGGTGGAAACTCACCCGCTGTAAGGGCAGGTCCAACGCCTAGGGCGCCAATATTTGGCGGACACCGAAATTATATGCAGAACAAAATAACAGGAACATCATTCTAAATGACAGCTGTGGCCGGCCACAGCTCCACCTAGGCTTAAAACCTTTGTTTCGGTAAGAGGAGAAAGACCTCTGAAAAGATCTCAGAGGAAAGATCACCAGAATCGCGACTCCTGCCTTTTCCTCTATATTGGAAGTGGTGGGGGTGCCGAGGTGCACAGTTCACCTCGGGCGCCAATTACCCTCGGACCAGCCCTGCCCACAGTCACTGGCAAACCCACTTCCCTGGCCACGGGAAAAGTCATAAAGGAGCCAATAATAATGCACATGCTGATTCCTTCACCCACACAAATCTTTTCCGAGTCAGCCTGAAAGCCATTATCAGCAGAGCTGGATTAATAAGCAAACTAGGCACATGCCTAGGGCCTTATGCGAAGGAGGGGGCCAGTTGTGCTTATTTTGCATGTTAGAATTACTACTGAGTGAAAAAAAGTAATACAAAATTTCATCTTCAGCTGGGGGCCCACAAGTTTGTTTGCCTAGGGTTAACCTCCAAAGGGTTAATCCCACCCTGGTTATTGGGAACATCAGGTTAGAAGCCCTTGAACATCCTGGTGACCTAAAATGCAGACTCATAACCAGGTTTCCCACGGCCGGGGGAGGGGGGGGGGTTTTAGAGGGCACCAGCCATCACAGCCCTCCAGGTAAGCAGCAGTGACCGCTATGTGTGAGCCTCCGCCCCCCCCCCACCCGGTGCCACCATCCCTTGCCACAGCTGCAGAGTTGGCCACGGAGCTGTGCTCTGGGGCATGCAAGCCTCCCTCTCCCCCTCCCCTGGGCAGGCGACCCAGCGTCATGTGTGCAGCCGTACATAGATTCATAGATTGTAGAGTTGAAAGGGACCACAAAGAATCATCGTGTCCGACCCCCCTGCCCCGCAGTAAAGAGGACCGAGGTCAGATGACCCCAGTCAGGTGACTATCAAGCCTCCTCTTGAAGACCTCCAAGTTAGGTGATAGTACCACCTCTCTTGCAAGCCCATTCCAGATTCTGGCCACCCTTACTGTACAAAATTTCTTCCTAATGTTTAACCTGAATCAACTCTCCACTAGTTTGTATCTGTTATTCCTAGGTACTCCTAGGGGCATTCTGGTAAATAGTGCTTCTCCAATTCCCTGTTGTCCCCCCTTGATAAACTTATAGGCAGCTACAATTTATAGGCTCCCTCAGCCGTCTCTTGTGAAGGCTGAAGAGATCCAGATTCCTCAACCTTCCTGTGGCAGCCGAGGGCGGTCTAAGGCTATGGCCAGTAGCCCGGACCGTCAGGTGGGTATTTTGCACGATGGAATAGAGTTAGGCACGGAAGCGTATTGGTTGTATAAAGAAAGCTTTACTTACACTGCCGATGGTCACAGTGCAGGAAGAAAACTTGCTTGAAT